GGGAAGCAGAGGCAGGTGGATCTCTGTGAGTTCAAGGCCAGCCTGGTCTACAAGAGCTAGTTCCAGGACAAGCTCCAAAGCTACAGAGAAACCCTATCTCAAAAAAAAAAAAAACAAAAAACAAAAAACAAACAAGAGAGAGAGAGAGAGAGAGAGAGAGAGAGAGAATTGCCCAGAGAAAGTCCAGAGAAAGTCCTTACCTTGAGTGGACAACATGGCTCAGTGTGTAAAGGTGCTTACTGCCAAGGCTGATAACCTGAGTTTGATCCCTGAAACTGACATGGGAGGAGAGAACTGACTCCTCCACGTGAGCGTGTGTGCTCGACGCGAATGTGCACACAAATGAAATTTAAAATACTCAGTAGCAAAATACTTTTAAATTATTTATTTGTTAAAGGTAGGTGGGGGCGCACGCCCTTAATCCCAGAACTTGAGAGGCAGAGCAGGCAGATCTCAGTGAGTTCCAGGACAGCCAGGGCTGCACAGTGAGACCTCGTCTCAAAACAAACAAGGGGCTAGAGGACCTGAGTTCAATTCCCAGCAACCACACAGCAGTTAACAACCACCTATAACTATAGACCCATGAATTCTGATGCCCTCTTCTGGGGTTCAGATGTACACGCAGACAAAGCACCCATACACGTAAATAAATATATCTTCATTGTTGTTTTTCCAGTCAGGGTTTCTCTATGTGGTCCTGGTTGTCTTAGAACTCTCTCTCTGTAGACCAGCCTGGTCTTGTGCACCATGCCCTTTAATAAATAAACTTTAAAAAATTTTTTCACAAATTAAAGACAGAGGAGATTTGTCAAGTCCTGGAGGTGATCCCTAGCCACCCAATCCCCAACAAATAGAGAATATTCAGGAGGATGAGGCAGGAGGATTCCAAGGTGGAGTCCAGCTACAAAGAAAGCTCAAAGGGAGTCTAAGCAATTTAGTGATAACCTGTCTCAAAATAAAGTAGGACTAGCCTGGTCTACACAGCAGGTTCTAGGTCTGTCTCAAAATAAAGGATTTTTATAAAGGCAGAAGAGGAAACAGCCCAAGAGAGACCCCAAGTGACCCAAAGCCCTTCAATGAGTCAGTATGGGATCCTTAGCCTTGACTCCCACACCCGTGGGAGCCACTTCTTTGGTGGCAGTGACCCAGAAAAGTCATGGATTGGTGCGGGAGAATTATCTGTATTCTGTCAATCATATTTTAATAAAA